TACAATAACTTGCCTAATTACTCTAACCTGCCTAGTTAACCTAATTAACCTAGTGAAGCCTTTAAATGTCACTTTAAGCTGTACAGAAGTGTCTTGAAGAATATCTAGTCTAATATTATTTACTGTCATCATGACAAAGAGAAAATAAATCAGTGAATAAAGAAGAGTTATTAAAACTATTATGATTAGAAATGTGTTAAAGAAACAGTCTCTCCGTTAAACAGAATTTGGGGGAAAAAATAAACAGGGGCAAATAATTCAGGGGGAAAAATAATTTTGACTTCAACTGCTTTAAAAAGCCAATTACTGCGTCCCAAATCGAATACTTATGCTCTATTCTACGTCATTTTGTAGTATAAATAGTTTAAGTAGTGTGTTCACACTGAAAAGTCTCAAAATAATAAGAGCACTTTAATTACCCGGATGATGCACTTATTCAGCCGGTAAAACAAGGTGTGTAATGATGGACACGTCACGCACTCAACGACTGCAGGTTTGCTTACGTAGCGGAAGGGGCGGAGCTATCGGGCGGACATGTTGGATAACTTTATTTATTTTGGATGGTGAAAGCTAAATTCTCCTATGAGAGTGATTATAGCGCCTCCCGATGGTGAATGCGGTTATACTCACGGCAGGTATTATCTGATAATTCGGTCGTTTATTTCACGGATTTAGCAACCGTCAACCTTCATCAGGGAAACGATTTGAAATTCCACTTAGTAAAAAAACATAAGTGTCCCATTTGGGACGACACTACATACATATACTACCCTGTTGAGTGTGTAAGTGCATAAGTACATAGTGCATAAGTACATAGTGTATAGTGTGCCATTTGGGACGCGGATGACAATATTATTAAAACTACATGCATACTGCACACTTTGGGCTCTATTTTGACGATCCATCGACGAGAATGAGACATGAGCCATCTCATTCTTTACTTTCACTTTCGCTCTCGTGGATAGGGAAACCTTGTACGCACAGACATCCATTAGCCTATAAATAATTAATTTCGTTTGTTAAGCGCAAAGATTTGTCAAAATTATTTCTAAATTCAGTTCTAATTTCCAGCAAATGAACAATAATAACGAAGTGTGGTCAAAAAGTTATATCCTAATACACATGCTGTGCCCCATATGTTCTACAACCTGACAGGTGAACAAATCTAAGCTTGTTTTTAATAAAACAAATATAAATATGGATATAATAAATAAAACTGCTAATAATAATAACATTATACAAAAGCAGATTGTTATGAATGAACTGAAAAAGCCTCCCGAGATGAAGAAGGCATGAAGGCAGTGGTTTTTATATTTATGTAGGCTAGAAAATAATATGTTTTGTAATATTTTAATCCTTTATATTTATATCCTATATATATCCTTAATTCTTTTTCATATGTAAAGATATTTGCATATTGCTCTACATCTTGTGTGTATTTAGCAGTGTGTAAGCGAGGCGCATAACTAACGCGCTCTGCGCTGGACAATAGACCCGCTTTGTTTTGGTCTATTTAAAAATCTATTATAGTTCCTCAAAATAGCAACGCGCCAGTAATGCGCCTCAACACACCTTCTTTTTAGAGCAGAACGCCTATAGGTGCACATATGAGCGCAAATGCATTTGCAATTTAAACAGCGTAGCACAAAACATCAAAACGACTCTTGCGCCAAGCTGAAACTAGCAAACAACAATTGTCCCGCCTTGCGCCGGGTGTATGATAGGGCCCCTTAGTTTCAAAGTAGTCTAGTAGAGACTAGTCCATATCTATTAATGCTATTACAATTCAGTCTGATCGTTGTTGGTAAAAATGACTTCCTGTGTCTTTCTCTATAACACTGGGGCTGAATTAATCTTGCGCTAAAAGAACTTGCACATGCTTGGACTGTATCAAAAAAGGAATGACACTCGTGGCTCATCATACTGACAAATTTGTCCATCATTCGATGATTTGGGTGTTTATTTCTGTACAGCACGTTAGCTCACTTCTGTGTTTTTAAAGTGCTCTAGACATAAAGTCTGACTGTTACTTAAATGCATGTTTAATTTATTAATTTAATATTAGTTTTAAATATTATGCCTTATTGTTTTTATGCATCTAAAATGCTCAGATATGCATCTAATAAGTTGTTAAAGTACATTTGTGCTCAGTCCTGTGTCATTTTTTCCTGTTAAAGTCATTAAACATGACCAATCTTATTATATTAATATGATATATTTGTGTTCTTTATATTGATGATTTTATTATGTGTGTGTTTATCTCATAAAAGACGAAATTTAATATCATATTTGTCCATAAAATATGTGCATGAACATGTTCTCCAGTCAAAGAAAATCCACAATCATTAAAAATCTACTGGTCTGAAGAATAAAACCACACAATGTTTGACCACACACACACACACACACACACACACACACACACACACACTCACCACACGCACAAACTCATGCTCAAGCACACACACACAAACACATACATACTCACGCAAACGCTTAAGAACACACACGCGCATGCAAGCACGCACGCGCTGATGTCCGTGTTGAGTCAGTGAAGCAGTGAGCGCTTGCTCGTCTCTCTCTCGCTCTGCGTTCAGTCAATAACACAGACAGGCCTGAACATTTATCATCTTCTACTCTCATTTTTCACTTATTGACATTGTTTTTCCATTTATTCTGCAGAATTAAATCAGTAAGTCCAGACAAACGCTGCCCAGTGTGGCCTGTCACACACATACACACTCAAAAACACACACACAGAAATCCTGAATATAGGACAGTTTTTGAGTGTGTATGTGTGTGTGTTTGTACATACAAACCTATGCAAAAAATTCTGTCAGCTTCTTGAATCTGATTGGCTGATAGACGTGTGATGTTCTGCAATAGCAGCACTTGTACAGCCTCTTCACCCTTGTGTATTACTCCGCCCACATAGTGACAGAAGATCAATAAACTTACTACAGTTTGACAAATATTTCAGCTGTTGGACAACATCATGCACTGTTGAGGCTTTTTAGGAGAAAATGTAGCTGTTTAGATTGCAACTATGCAGTTTATTTATAAGGATAGAGCCTATTTTAAATACTTATCAATTCAGCTTGTCATACTGAGCAGAGCAAAGACGGTTGCGCCACAAGATGGAGACAAGGAGCACATAATAAAAGCTTAAGGGAAAAAACTCTATCTCCAGCTGATCAAATCATTATTAAACAGGTCAGTGACACTCTAAGTTGATCTCTCTCTTGTGTATGCTGTAGTGCTGTAATTAAACCATAGTAATCTGCTAGTGTTTGCTTTGGCTTTTTCAGGGTTAACTACTGTGATCTCCCGATCGCAACAGAGAAACACTGGGAAATCTCTGTAGACTGATGGCATTTCATGCTGTTCAGCCTTACAATCTTGTTATAAAAATGTGAGCAAAATCAGCTGTTTTGTCTTGACTTTAGACATTACGCTACAGAATCATTCAAACACTAGCTCTAAAGTGAATGAGTGAATGAGAAGGTGAGTGAGCAGCGGTTTCTGCTGTTCTGACGTCAGCTGTAGATGGGAATGAATGAAGGAAGAAAGTAGTTCCTCATACAAAAGGGTTATGAGACTCTCCATGTTTGATTTTCCTATTTATATAAACAATTATGCCGTCAAACTGTTGTATAATCGCAATATCACACTTGTAGCAGTGCGATATGGCTGTATAATGTATAATATATATATATATACATACATACATACATATATATATATATATATATATATATATATATATATATATATATATATATATATATATATATATATATATATATATATATATATATAT